TCATCTATCAGGACAAGCTGTAGAAGGTGAAAATTAATGATGTTGGCAAAAAGAGTATACTTATCTAAAATCTTTAGGTCTTCTAAAACCAATGATATCTTTATCAGTTTTGCTTAAGAACATTGCCAGATAAAATTAAAATTTTACTTAGACGTCTCATTAATCTTCACAAATGCTATTTCTGCTTTCAACAATTGCAATGGTTATAACACAGTCCGGTTATTATGAAAAATGAGAACTAAATACCAGTAACAGAGCAGGAAAGCCCCACGCACAAGGATAGAGGCAATAGAAGTTTAAGAACAAAGTACCCTGTGATTCTGCATCCTCTGATGCTTGTTATTCCCTAATAATAAGTTCGATATTTAGAAGGGATTCGTGTATTCTTTCAGGTCACCTTAGTAATAAGTGCACTATCTTCAAACAGAATGAAATATAATGGCTTCTTCCTAAGGTTCCCAATTTACCATCTTTGAACAACTTGGAATAACTAAGGGAGACTTAGTCAAAAACCCTGCACATTGCAGGAACATGGCATGATGGCAAATATATTTTGTAATGCAAAGTGAAGTCCAGTAGATTCTATGCTGGGGAAGCAAATAGTCAATTAAAAACATCCTTTTTTTTTGTCATCTCTAAAAAAAGGTCACAAAGAACTTGATTGTTGTAAGAATCTCACATAATGTGAACATGTTTTATGGAGCTCATGTTACAGCCTGCTATTTTAAGCTATTCTGAAGGAGCAAACTGACTGGTAGCAAACCTTTCTTATCATTTGCTACTATAAGCAATGCTTATACTGTTACCCATTAGCTGCCCTTTACTGTGTACTTTGCTTTTTAAAATATCTCTTTGGGTTTCTGTTCTGGTTACCCAGTGCCGCTCTGACAGATATATACCACAAATGGGATGGCCGTAACAAACAGGAGTTTATTCTCTTACAATTTGGAGGCTTTAAGTCCAAGTTCAAAGTTCCAGGCTCTAGGGGCTGGGTGAACGCCTCTCAGTCTTGGGCTTCAGCTGTGCCTCCAGCCCCCAGCCAACTGAAGCTAGAGGCTTTTCTTCACTCAGACAGCTGTTGGCTGCTGAGGCTGCCAAGCCTAAGGTTGACAAGTAAAAAGGCATAGTCCCAATATTATCAAATCACACAGCAGGCCACTAATTCAAGTCCATCGTAAGTCCCAAGGTCAGCAAAGCATGGCAGGCTGATGAACAATGACACAGCTACATGCAGGGTTCAAGGTATCATAAGCTAGAGACTATCCCTAAGGCTTCTCCTTATATACAGGAAGCAGACCATATCCCAAAAGCAGCTACTCAGCTGCTTGTGGTAGATCCTACCATGGAGTTGATTGCCAGTCTCATCAAGGGGAATAACTACCACCAGCTGCCCAGCCACTCCACCAGGCCCAGCCAAGTTGACATACAAACTGAACTACCACAGTTTCCAAGGCTATAAATCTTTACAGAAGCAGCATGTCTCATCTTTCTTCCGTGAAATAGCTGGTGAGTTTGAACCATCAACTTTCTGGTGAGCAGCCAAATGCCTTAACCACTACAAAAGAGCTATTTGTAACACATAGGACCACCTCCCTGCTTTTTTTTTTTCCTTTTTGGTTTCTGTGTGTTCCAAATAGGAGTTCTCTTGTAGTGGTTAAGGCATTTGGCTGCTCACCAGAAAGTTGGTGGTTCAAATCCACCAGCTACTTCATGGAAGAAAGATGAGAACAGTCTGCTTCTGTAAAGATTTATAGCCTTGGAAATATAATAGGGATCTCTATGAGTGAAAATCACCTCAATGGCAGTGAAATTGGTTTTGGTTTGATGTTTTCCAAATAGGAGTTCTGGTGGTATAGTGGTTAAAGCAGTTAGCTGCTAAACCAAATTTCAGTGGTTCAAACCCACCAGATGCACATATTTACAGTGTTAGAAACCCTATCGGGGTTGCTATGAGTCAGAATTGATTCAATCATAGTGGGTGTGTTCCAAATAAGTTGCACATAAATAAAAAGAAATATATTCATATGCATTAATTTGTTTACTTAATAAGCATTTACTGAACACAGTTATATATGCTATCTTTGAAGAAATTCATAGACTTAGAAGCAGCCACTCTTGCCATCAGTTAGCTTACATTTAGTAGGAAAGCCTATAGTATTTACATAAATTTTATCTCTCAAATATTGGTGAATTTCTTCTAAAACAAAAATCATCAAAAAAAATAAATGTCTTTGGAATTCCTGCTTGTGTTGACTGACAGCTTTCTTATGCATTTCATAAATAATTTGGGAAAAAGAAACATCTAATTTTTCTATTTTATCACATAGCATTCAGGTGGTAAGCTGAGTTTAAATCAAATTATTTTTTCATGTTACTTTTTCTTATAGTTTTTTGGCTCTGTTGTTCAGTGAGTGTATATAACATTCTTACTGTGCCCATGTTTTCAGATAGCTTTGTGAATATCTATTGCTTCAACATATCTCAGAATTTCTTATCAAAATATCAAATAAACCTAAAAATACTTGAAAATTTACTTTTTGTTATTACATAGCTAGAACTGTATTTTAAAGTTTTCACATAAACTCCTTAACATAATCATATTGATCCTCTCTAAAATAATTTTGAGCAATAAAAACCCTACAAAATTATAACATTCATCTCTGTCAACTCATCAATTCTTCCCTAGAGGTGAATTGATTATGATTGTCATCTGAACTCTGGTCAACTTATCCCAGAAAAAACTTTACCAGTGTTATTTCTATACCTTTTTGCATTAGGAAAATATATTACCACTGCAATTATCTTAATTAGTGTCATAATTTTATAGCAGCAATTTGTAAGGAAAGATAGAAGCTTTCTGAAGCATTATCAGGTTTTCCCTACTCATATGCCAGCCTTTTGCACTAACACTCAACTCTCACATTATTTTTTATTTCTGGAGATCTCTTCATATTACAGAAATGCAGTGATGTTGATGTTGTTGTTAGGTGCTATCAAGTTAGTTCTGATTCATAGCAACACTATATACAAAAGTGACAATTTCACTTAAATAGCATTTGTAGGTTGTGTGTCCTTTGTGATTCTTTTTTTTTTTTTTATTCTCCTCTCAGTTTGAATACACCCTCAAGTGAACTGAGATAAATAAGCTTATCCTATACATTGTCAGTACAAAGTTGAAGAAAATGAATCATAAAATCACAGTTCTACTGCTTTGTTTGGTTAAGATTTCCAAAACTGTTATCTACCAGTTTTTTTTTTTTTTATCCTACTATCTCTTTTTGCCATTTGTAATTTAGGAAGCATTCACACTTTTTCTCATACATTGAGGAATAAAAATTATAAGACTGTAATTTTCTCCAAAACCTTGTTTTGCCCTTAGACAGAAAGCTTCTTATGAAAATAAGGTACTGCTACAGCTGCAGAGAGGTCTCATAAGTGAAACAGCAGCAGCTGTTGCACTATGGGAAAAGTTCTGTTGCTGAAGTGCTAGCACCTTTTGGGAAAGTGTAGGGTCAGGGTCAGTGGTCTATTTCTACCACAAAGTTAGACTGTTGAAAATAAGACCACTGAGGTAATGAGTAAAACAGGCAGAGTGCAAACAAACTGCTGTTACAGGATGCAGACTGCATAAACAAAAACCACAAATCCAAGCTAACAGAAGCAGGCATCACTGAGACCTTTGCTGCATCATGGCCAATATTTTTCAAAAGAAGACAGAAATTCATGATTTTATATAAAATTTCTCAAATTTTAAATTTTAGCAACTTACCAAATACATTTAAAATGCTGTGGGAAACAAAGCTAATACATTAATGGCCTTGAAAATTGGAACATCTGTTCTGGACAGGCTGCCTTGCCCCTTTAATTTCTATGTCTGAATTCAGAAAAAGGAAAACTAACAAACTTCTTAATTTACTGATTTCTGCATCTTGGACATAAACCAGAGCAAAAATCAGAGAGTGTGTGGCCAGGAAGTTCACTTAAACACCAGGTTGGCTTTTCCCTCGACTGCATCTCGTTAAACACCCTCTTGGCTCACTTCCCTCTCTCACTGGTGCTCTTTTTCTCCTACTTATGCTCCCTGGACTTTGTATTACCTACAGCTAGTGTATATATAATGGGAACCTGTTCACATTATGTGAGGTTCTTATATATCTATATCTATATCTACATAGATTCTAGACTTGGCAATGGTCTTTGGGTTTACAAAATAATTACTAAGAAAAAAATTAACAGGAATAACAAAATATTCTCACCTATGGTAGCAGTTACATAGTATCTCTCACATATATATCATCTCCTAAGAATGTATGAGGAAGATACCATTATCTCTGATTTACAAAAGAGGAAATTGAAATGTAATGGAAACTAATATCCTCGATAGGATCTTCCAGAGAATAAGTGACTGAACTGTAACTGGGACCCAGGACTTCTGGCTCAAAACCCAATGTCTTTCTTCTGCTCCATCACAGAGGAACACAAATGGAACAATGGGGCAATAGCCTAAATTACTCAACAGTTGACCTTGTTTTCCAGTCATGTCACTTGTCTTTCAAACTTCCCAATACTCAACATCTTTTCATTGTACTCTCTCAAGCTTTTTTCAATTTTCTTTTAAACTATCTCCAAGTACATATAAAATAAATGAGGAGTGAGGGAGTTGACAGCTGTGACTATTTGGAACAAAAGTCTGGCCTTGTGTTTTGCAGCCATGAAAAACAATTACAGCTCTCCTTGGCAGGGCAGAGAAAGTTCACTAAATTACTACTTCAAAACAAGTTGGAATAGCTTCCAATAGGGTCTCATGGCCATATTTAGAAGAAAGAAAGAACCATCATCTTCTAAACATACTGATGTAAGTAATACTATAACCGATCTCATGGTAATAAACTTGCTGACATGATTTTACATATAGACATATAAAACATCAAATGCTTCAACTTCTAAATAATGAGATAATTGACTTCAGTATTATTTCTGAAAAAGGCAAAGTTTTTTACCCATATCTTGGGTCCAAAGCAATGGCCCTGGGGTGTTCCATGGCTCCGGCTATTAGTGTAGTTCTTAGGGAACCATCTAGTTTGGCCACTTCGATTTGGTCCAGGTTGCTGTCTATCCAGTATATGTTGCCTGCTATCCAGTCGACTGTCAGACCCTCCGGGGTAGCCAGGCCATGCTCCACTACCACTTCGACTGCAGTGACACCTACAAAGGAAGGGAAACCAACACTTGGACCTGTTTAAGGAACAGGAAGAACCGCTTATAATAAGCAGCACAAATTGTTTAAACATAACAACTTTGCGAGATACCATTCAAAAGTGTTACTTGGCACAGAAGAAAGCAAGAAGTTCTAGAATATAAAATTACTGAAATTTTTCTCCAGAAATCTTCAATCTTTTAAGGACTTTCAGTGTCAATACAATGTAATATAGAAACAACTGCCAAGTTGATAACCATGTTGGAATTTCCAAAAAGTTATTTCTTGTTTCTGGCTTTTTAGATAGAACAAGCACTTTTGCAAACAATAATAACGTCCTTCTTGAAATTTAATTCAAATACTAATCACCAACAGTAGAATAAAGCGAGAAAGACTTCTGGAGCAACATACATCACAGTTAATCAGCTTCCACTTTTTTCTCAAGAATGACAGATAAAATAACTTTTATTGTCTTTACCCTTAACAAAGATAAGCCCAAATTACACATTCTCTCTCCCTTGACCTTGAGAGATTTAATAAAGATACATTAAGATAAGAAAATATAAGTAATCTGGGGAAAAAAAAATAATGTCCATCATCATTGATATGTATAGATCTATTAATTTCTTTCAGAATTCTTTTAAAATTTCATTTTAATACACCTTTTCTAACAGATAGTACTTCTTAGGGGACCATAATAGTTTAGAACATTGCTGATGGTTTTTGTTAGACATTTTAAAGATTAGACTTTAAACAAACCATTTGATTCCATTGGTTTAATTTTATTATTTTAAATCACCATCTTATTAGACAGAACATAAATTCACAAATCATGATTATATTGTATTTTAAATCAGACTATTTTCAAAAATTGCTAATGTGATTTGCAGAGGAATTAAAGGTTTGATAGAAATTCCTTGTACTCTTAATATTAAACAGATCCAATACTTTCAAGATCCGGTAGTATAGTGCCTAAGGCACTTGACTGCTAACTAGAAGGCTGATGGTTCAAACCCACCAGCCACTCCTCAGAAGGAAGGTTGGGCAATCTACTTCCATATAGATACCACCTCAGAAACCCAAGGAGGGGTCACTATGAGTCACGTCTGAGTCAATGGCAAATAACAACAACAACAAAATGCATATATAATCTCAAAATCTTGCTAGTTAAAAAAGATCTAATTAGAAAAAGGTAGTTCAAATTATGGGAAAATATTTAGTTCATATTAATTATCTTTGAAACAATTAGCTTTATTATTTCTTTCAGTTAGGCTGAGAGATGGTAACAATGACAACAACAGAAAGTTATTTTAACTCCCTGAAAGTCAATATAAGGGTGTAGATTAAAGTGTTTTTTTTTTTTTTTTCTTTTTTTTCTGTGAATACATTTCTTCATCATATACCCACCAATTCCCAGAACAAAATTGATGTGATGGCATAGAACTTGGCTATTCCCCTGGCTCAACTCTACTAATACAAATACCTGACTTCTCTGGTTTTACATATCTGAGGAAGCAGATAAAGAACAAAGGACCAGATGCTAATACAAGTTCATTTTTATTACAATGCATTGTATTTTCTGTTAAAAATGTAAACAATCAATCAAAATGGAAAGAGATGTACCTCCACTTTCAGAAAGCTTGCCCCGGTAGATTCTGTCTTCCACAACATCTGTCCAATAAAGTAAACTTTGATTGAAGTGAAAATCAAGTGCTATTGTGTTTCTCAATCCAGGAACAAGTAGACTATAGTCTCTTTTATGAAGATCAATTCTTCTGATCTCATGGCGAATGGAAAAGATGATGAATGCTTCAAAAGGATCTGAAATTAAATGTGCTTTTTAAAAGATGCTTATGATAATATTTATATACTTTGGCAAATGAAATAAATTGTTTACAGTAAAAATGCATTTCTTTAAAAAAATTATTTATTATATGATTCAGTGTCATTAAAAGAGCACTTTCTTTTTAATTCAAAATGTTATAGACACTTGAAAAAATTAGTTTTATATGTATATTAACTGAAAATAAAGTAAAAATATGTTTTTGTTCCTTGGATTTGCATATACCTAATTCTGATTAAAGAGCTGTTGTAATAAGATGGCCAATTGTGATTTTTTTTTCTACTTTTTTCAAGGCTTCAGTTGAAAATCTAAAGGTCAAAACTATCAAAGGAATTGCTAAGAGATGTCCAAGCCTAGCTCTACTGCTCTTAGCCCATCATACACTTATAAATACACTGTGTTAAAAAGATACAACAAAAGAGAGTTGTTGCCTCACAGCTACAGAGTGAAAAGCTGTTTTTCCACATTCCAAAAAAAACCTCACAGCTATACTATTCCCCACTGGTTTTGAAGCCTGGATCAGATCTCAGTGGGGAGAAAGCAGAGAACCTTTGAAAACATACTTGAGATTAAAAATGTATATTTAAGTACCTGAAAGAATGTTTCAGTACTTGAAAGTTGCTAGAAATTATATTATCACTCAGAGAATGCTCTAAGCCATCCATTAATTATTGCTGGAAATACTAATATAAGCTAGGCATGAATTCTGCTTGATAAATACATATTTTGGGAAGGGACTACTGACCAACCAGACGTTTGAACTTCTGTTCCTTGTTTTCATGCTAGTGTCACCCTTTTGTACTTTCCTTTGGAGAAACTGATTGTCATACCCCCAGTCTAGGCAGATCTGATTGTGGTCTGCCAGGGCCTTCCTGTCCACAGTGATTAACTCAAGGACAGGATGTGAGACATCAATCAGACTAACGGGTTTGAAAATTTACAGAGAAGTTTTCAAGTTGAGGGGAAAGAGTCTCTCTCTTTTCTTCTATGGTCACAGAACTCTAAGCCCAGTGTTATTGGTGGTCATGTTCTTGGAGTTTGAATAAGTTTGTTAGTTATATTGTAGTAGAAGAGGACAAAGTCACATAGAATGAAGCAGTGATGACCTATGGTGAAACTGTGGACTAAGAACATTCAATCCTTAGTTTCAGCAATCCCTGAAACTAATTCCTCCTTTTCAATCCTCCATGTTTTGAATATGTAAGCCAGTGTGCTTCATACTATTTATTCAACTTAATCTGAACTGAGTTGCTGGTAATTGCAACCAGGTTACTGTTCTTATTAATGCCATCCCCTCAAAGAAGTCTTTCCTGGCCAGATACCTAATTAAAAAGCATCTCTATTATCCTGTATTATAATAATCTATTTCTTATTTTAAATTATGGTTTTAAAATAAATATTTACTCATTTCTCATCCATCTCCCTCACTGGATTTTATATATTTTTTGTTTTGTTCATTGTTGTATCCCCAACACCTAACACCAGGGTTCAGAAGAATACTAGACTAGGCTAGTAGGCCTTAATGTGAGGCAGTCACTCATTTTTTTCACCTACTCGATCTGAACCCACGTTATGTAGCTCTGCCCAGCACTTAGAATAAATGTGTTTTGAGCAAAGAAATGTGGAGAAGAACTAAGTCTATTCTAGTCTACCTGATAGCTAGTTATTGTCCAGTCATAGAATAGAGCCCAGTCAGTATCAATAGAACCACTTTTTTTGACTTGCAGCTGACTGTAGAGAATGAGTTCAGTCAAGACAAGAATTGCTCAGAATACTTGCAGACGGTGAACAAAAATAATGAATATTGTGGTAGCCATTTGCGTACAGCGATTAATGTTGGGCAATCTATTTCTGTAGTGATACCGCATCGGAAACCCAAGGAGGGGTCGCTATGAGTCGGGTCTGACTTGAGGGCACATTACAACAACAACAACAACTGTGTTGTTTCTTGCACATTATATGACTGATACAAAACACACACACACACACACACACACACAAGTTACAAAATATCAAGTTCCAAACAACTCTCAATAGAACAATAAGCATGCTATTTAAAATCCAAACTTTCACGTTTTTTAAAGCAAAGAAAATGGTTAGGTTGAATGCACAATATTTAAAACAGGACTTCAAACTGGGCCTAAATGGTTCAATCATAGCCAATAGAAACATAAACAGTGTGCATGTTGCATAGCAACCAAATCTCTTATGTGTCAGATTTTGATCTAAGAAGGAAACAGGCAGCAGTGCCTTGATCAAACATAGCAGCCAATTGCCAAGTGGTAGGCTGCCATCTTTGAGTGGGACACCGCTGTCTGTTTCCTACTGGGTCAAAATCTGACATTTGGTTGCTATGCAATGTACACACTGCCCTTGTTTCCACTGGCCATGACTGAACACTTTCAAATTGCTTCAAGGCCCTGGTTTAAAACAATTAATAGCTCATTCTGGATCAGGAGCCCTTGTTTCATACTCTGCTCTTACTAGGTCTGGTGTAGTGAGTGACTTGGTATGGCTGTTCTATCCACAGTCTTTGTAACTGCCACCAGATGTGTGGGTCAAAACCAAACCAAACTCACTACTGTTGAGTCAGACCAACTCTTAGAAACCCCTCCTTGGGTTTCCAAGTCAGTGTCACTATGGAAGTAGATTGCCCAATCTTCCTTTGAAGGAGTAGCTGGTGGGTTTGAACTGCCACCCTTCTGTTTAGTAGTCAAATGCCTTAGGCACTATGCCACCAGACCTCCCTCATAGCAGATATAAATAGATGGGTAACTGTGTTATACAAAAAAAAAAAAAAAAGAAATTGATTTGGAGTCAGAAAATATGGGTTTAAGATATGGTTGTGCTAACAATTAGCTGTTTAAATTTGAAGATTTTACTAATTCTCTCTGATCATCAATTTTGTTTTACTTTTTATTTTTTTTCCATTTACAAAATTTATAACCCACTGAGTTATCAGAACAAAATGATAATAATAATTAAAAACCTGAACAGTTAGTAAAATCTTAATAAATTTTTTAATAATTGTTATGACTATGTAATTCCAGAGCTTATTCAAAAGACTAAGAGTTACTACATAGCAGAAGGGACCAGAATTATGTTACACCAAAAGAAATCTGGGCATTTCTCAGCATGTGCTGAAGCTAGTGACATTTCAGCTCCAAAGAAAGTCCTCCATCCTTTGGTTTATAATTTTCCCTTGTTGTTGTTGTTAGGTGCCTTCAAGTCATCTCTGATTCATAGCAACCATATGTTCAATAGAACAGAACACTGCCTGGTCCTGTGCCAGCCTCACGATTGTTCCTATACCTGAGACCATTCATGCTATACAATGAGCCCATTGTTGCAGCCACTGTGTCATTCCATCTTGTTGAGGGTCTTCCTCTTTTTCTTTGACCCTCCTGTTTACCAAGCATGATATTCTTCTCCATGGAATGGTCCCTTCTGACATGACCAAAGTAGGTTAGACAGAATCTGGCCATTCTTACTTCCAAGGAACATTCTGGCTGCACTTCTTACAGGACAAATTTGTTAGTTCTTTTAGCAGTCCATGGTCCTTTCCATATTCTTCATCAACACCACAACTCAGAAGCATCTACACTTCTTTGGTTTTCTGTATTCATTGTCCACCTTTCACATGCATATGAGGTAACTGAAAATACCATGGTGTTTTGGTTACCGAGTGCTGCTCTGACAAGAATATACCACAAATGGGATGGCCTTATCAAACAGGAGTTTGTTCTTACAATTTGGAGCCAAGTTCAAAATGTCAGGCTCTAGGGGCTGGGTGAAAACCCCTCAACCTTGGGCTTCAGCTTTGCCCGCTGTTTCCAGCTGACTGAAGCTGCTGGCTTCTTCATTCAGTTGTTGGCTGCTGAGGCTGACATGCCCAAGGTTGACAAGTAAAAGGGCACATTGCTGTCCAGTAGGATCCAACTCACAGCGAACCCTCCTTGGGTTTCCAAGGCATTATCACTACGGAAGCAGATTGCCAAACCTTCCTTCCGAGGAGGGGCTGGTTAGCAGTCAAATGCCTTAGGCACTACACCATTAGAGCTTTTAACTAGAAGTTTAACACATATTCACACTGTATACCAGCAATAAAAATTAGAGTAATTGGGAAAAAAAAAAAAAAAGGATGACTCAGAATGACAATAAGATCTAAAGGCTATCAAGGAAAAACATAAAACAGAATATGTAAAATGTTTTAAATTACAGTTTTGGAATGAATAAAGAAAAATATAAATAAAAGGCAATATTCTAGTTATAGATAAAATAAACAGCTTATATATATTATATATATAATATATAATATATATAATATATATATATGTAATTATTCTATATAATAAATACAATCCCCATATTAATCTCAGTAACATTTTGTTGTGGTCTTTACTGGGAGACCCCAAAATTTAAAAGGGAATGTGAAAGAGAAAAGCTGATTGGAACAGGAATATGCTGATGATCAGTCATATTCAGATATTTAAACCTATAATATCTTAATTTATAATTGTATCTTGCATTCATTGAGATCTTCTGTAATCAAGATCTTTCATATACTGTGGTATTTGTTTAGGGAAATCAGATAGACTGGTACAACAAAAAGAGAACCAAGATCATCCACCAATGTTTGGATACTTGGTAAGTGACAAAAGTGAAGTTGTACAGCAGTGAAGAAAGATTTGACTAATTAAAATACTGTACTGGAATGTTTTAGTCTTCACTTGGAGGAAAGTTAAAATAAACATCTACCTCATACCACATATTAACATAAATTCTAATTGGAATAAAAGTGTAAATGAGAAAAGCAAAACTATAAAACTTCTACAATGATGAGACTATGACATTCCAGGTAGGAAAAATTTGTTAAAACATGTCATAAATATATGTCATAGATAAAAGGCTTGGTATATTCTACTACATAAAAATTTACATGTTCTATATGACAAAGATATTATAAGCAGACTTAAAT